GTTTTCACGTTGCGTCCAACAGATTTCAATAAAAGTCTCGATGAACTGGTAATGTTTATGGCTCAGGTAGCGCATTGCTATCCTGGTGAACTGGCCACCTTTGCACAAGAGCTTACAGATATGTTACAGACTCATGGACCTGTTCTAGATAAGGATATGCGAATGGTAATTGTTAATAATGACACAATTTTAAAATTAAAATATACAATCATAATGTTAATGTTAATGTATTTATATTATTAGACATTTTGCCGAGCTTTAATATTGTTACGTAACAAGCGATTATTGACACCAACAGATTTGCTTTCTCTATTTTTTGGATTACTCAGATCACAGGATAAAGAATTAAGAAAATTTTTAGAATCGCATATAGTTTCTGATATTAAAAACTTAAATTCAAAACATAAAGATGCCAAATTAAATCGGGTAAGTGTTTTAAAAATTACTAAAGTTATAAGCAAATGTAGAATATATTTATTTTTTTTTATTTTTTGTTAGAATCTTCAAAACTTCATGTACACCATGCTTAAAGATAACAATGCTAAAGCAGCTAAAATGTCTTTAGTAAGTATAAAATAAATTCTATAAGTAGAAAATTAAATATTTATATGATATAATATTTTTTTCTAATTAAGGGTATAATGGTTGATTTGTACAAAAAAAATATTTGGAGAGATACAAAAACAGTCAATGTAATATCAACAGGTTGTTTTTCAAAAATTACTAAAGTCATGGTTGCTGCATTAAAATTTTTTGTAACCGTGGATGCTAATGATTCTTCAGATGATAGTGATTCGTCAAGTTCAGATGATGTAATTATTTACCAAATAATACATTGTATTGTTTCTTAAAATACTAACATTTTTTAAATTATTTAAGGATACGCCAAATACTAGAGAAGTAATTATGGCTAATAAAGTGAGCAAAACAACAAGAAAAAGAACAAAAAATTTAAAAAAAGTTAAAAGATTAGTTGAGGTACGTATCTTTTTTAATTACTAAAAATAATTATTTATTTGTATTTATATAAATGTATTCTGAAAAATAATTTTATTGAATTTCAGAAAAATAAAAAAAAGAAGAAACAATCACAATCATCTAATTTTGCGGCTTTGACTTTAATACATGATCCTCAAGGGTTTGCAGAAAAATTATTCCATCAGTTAGAAAAAAGGCATGAACGGTTTGAAGTAAAAATGTTGACGTTAGACGTAGTGTCACGTTTAATTGGCTTACACCAATTAATAATTTTCAATTTTTACCCTTATATCCAAAGGTTTTTACAACCTCATCAAAAAGGTTATTATATAAGTTTTGTCTTTCTATTAAATATTTAATCATTTTTTTTTTTTTGTTATTAATCAATAAATATGTATTAGTTTTAATTTATGTAACTAAATTAGTTATGTTAAGTTGTATCTTTAACTTATTTTGATATTTTTACTGAAGTAGGCAAATTCCACATTATATATTGTTGTATTTATAGTTTATGAATGCACGTGTAAGATACAATTAAAATGTTAACTAATGAAAGTCATAATATTAGATAAAATATTAATACTGTAATAATTTAATCTAAAATTTCTTTAGAGGTAGTACGAATGATGCAATTTGTTGCTCAAGCATCACACGAGATTGTTCCACCTGATGTCTTAGAACCTGTGTTACGTGCATTAGTAAATAATTTTGTCACAGAAAGAAATTCATCTGATGTTATGGCAATTGGGTAAGGTTTGCATATTTAGTAATTAATTTTTATAATAGCAAAAAATATACATAAAATTGTGTTTCTTAGGTTAAATGCGATTCGTGAAATGTGTTCAAGAGCACCCTTAGTTATGACTGAAGATTTACTAAGAGATCTTGCTCAATACAAGAATTATCGTGAGCGTAGTGTCATGATGGCAGCTAAGTCATTAATACATGTTTATAGATCTTCTATGCCACATTTATTACATAAAAAAGATAGAGTAATTTTTTATTTTTTTTGGTGGTTGCATTATATTTATATTATTTAATTATGATTGTTATTTTATTATTCAGGGAAGACCTACTGAAGCATCATTGGAAATAGTGGCAAGAAAATATGGTGAAGTAGATGCAAAAGAGTTTGTACCTGGTGCTGAAATACTTCTCGAAACAGAAAATAATGAGTCTTGTGATGATTCTGATGAGTCAGGCGATGAATGGGTGAATGTTAGTCATTCAGAGGACGAAATCAGTGATGATGAGAATATAGATGGTGAAGATGAAGATATTGATGATAGTGATGGTGATAATGATGATGATAATGATGATATTGAAAGTAACTCTGATACTGAGGGAATAAATGACAATGATCAAAGTATTTCTACACAGAACTCAACAACAAACACAGTTACAAAAAAAAAGAAAGTAATATCTAAAAAAGAACAATTAGCTGAAAAGAAAGAAAAAGCAGCACAAGTTAGTTCAATGAGGATTTTATCTGATGAAGATTTTAAACGAATTGAAATAGCACAATTAAGCAAACAGATGACTTCTGCTAAAAATCGAAAAAGACCAGCTGAACCTGAAGAAACATCTAGGTAATAAGCATTTTTAAAATATATTAAATATATAATGAATTTTTATTTTATGTTTTTCAGGGGAGAATTAGTAAGGCTTAAAGATATTGAAAATATTTATAAAAAAAGAAAACATGATAAACAAACAAGAATAGACTCTATAAAGGTACCAATAAATTTATATTTAAATAAATCAAGTATTTAAACATTTTATTAATTGTAGAAAGGACAAGAGGGTAGAGAAAAGTTTGGATACAAGGATGGGCGTTTAAATCCATTTTCTAGTAAGACAAACAGAGAAAAAAAGAAAACCAAAAATTTCATGATGATTAAACACAAGGCAAAAGGAAAAGTGAAGAAATCTTTTAAGGACAAACAGGTAACTTATAAGTTTAAAAAAAAAATCAATATATTTTATTTTTAATAATTATAATAGCTTAAATTCATGTTAGTGATTATTTTAATTATTAGTTAAAACTTTTAAAAATAAATAAATAATATCCATAAGAATTAATTTTTTATTTTAGGTTAGAGGATTCCAAACTTTTTTGATTAACGTATCCTCAAAAATAAAAACCAATAATCATACCTCTCTTGAATAATTGAAACATTTTTTTATTAGTGTATAGTGTATACAATATCTATATTTGCTCCTTATAGTATGGGAATTGTTGGTTTAGGATATTGACTCAAATGTGATGTCTACAACAGTTAAGAATATAATAATATTCTGTAATTGTATCAATAAAATCTAATGCATTTATCACATTTAAAAAATTAATTAAAAAAATAAAAATAGTGAAAGTTTATAGATTTAGGTATAAAGATTTTACTTCACTTTTTAAAAGTTAATTTAATATAGAAATAAAAAAATACTAATTGAAGGTATTTTTGTTTCTTATTATTTATTTATATTCCTATATTTTTTAGATTTTTAAAATTTAAATAAAACAAAGATTATTTTTTTCAGATTGCATTACGAAATCATTTGACCAAGTTGAAGAAAATGAAATAATCAAATTAATTATATTTGAGTTACATGTATTCAAAAGTGTGAATAAAATACAAGATAACCAATTGAAATATGAATTTTTATTTATTCGATGTGTATTGCCTATATTATTTAATTATTAATTTATCAAAACAAGTTAAACAGTTTTGTTTACTTAATTAGATAGGTTAATTAAATAAATATTGTCTATAATATTATTAAGAGACAATTATCAAACTATTACACAAATTTTAATAGCTTGTGTAGATCTTCATGTATTCTAAAATAATGTTGTACTAATATATAGTATAACTTATGTTTAATTGTGTACATATTATTAGTTAAAATGAGCAATAATCAATATTTTCAATGATTAATTTGGAATGTAGATATGTATTTGTTCTATATTGAGTATTTAAGAAATTACATGACATATTATTATATTCAGTTTTATGTGTATATTAGCAAAACTTATTGGAGTTAGATATTACTGTACATAAATAGTACAGGTACCTAACAAATTTGTTTCTCAAATGCAAGCCCTGATTAAAATCAGAATTTGAACGAGTAATTTTTTATTTATTGATTTATTGATTTTACTTTATTAACTTAGGTTAATATAGGTTCAAAATAATTGATAATGTACTTAAGAGATTTGTAGGCTATGAAAATTTTAAAATTCTAGTGATTAATATTAATCTATCAATACTATACCACCATGGTGCCTTTTGTACAATCGTGTGATTTTTGTTTAAACTGAAATATTCGTCTCCTTGTTCTAGACTTCTTAAAATCATTCCATGTTTGACAGTGAATTTTGATAACAATTTTACATAATATAATTATGCTATCGACTAATCGAATACCTACCTACCTATTAAGTATTAATCATAGTTTAGGTAGTCATTTAAAATAAATAATAAAATCAATTATTTTTACACACATATAAGATACCTAGTCCATAATTTGTATTAAATACATATTTTGATAAAAGTAGGTACCTAAAGTAATAATTGTTAAAAAAAAAAATAATAATAATAAAAACCAATATTTAATCTCAACGGTATTCTGAATTATATTGACTAATGTTTGGTTATAATTGGACTAATAATTGTACCCTTTCGGCGTAGATACCTTACCAGTAATCTGTTTAAGAGAACATTTTTTAATCACCATTAGAGGTAGGACCTTTCTACGTCCTATCACATAAACCTATGTCTACCCTCCTCAGGCCAGGGCTCAACCATATAATTTTGAGGCAATTGTCATTTGTCTCGCACTCTCTTTGTACTCCCACTGATCCTAGCTACATTATGCATATTATTTTTAATTATAGATAGGTAGGTAACACCTACCTATAATATTAATATTGTTAAGAAGACTAAAAGGTTCTATAATGTTAAAATAATAAAATACATTTATTTATTTTTAATTTATATAGTATTTTTAAAATCGATTTTTATTTTACCTAATTATTAATTAGTAAGTATGGAAAAAGTTTTAAAATAATACGTTTATTAGCGCAAGCAATGACGCCAGGAACAAAGACTGGAAGCCAGTAATATTGTTCGCTATACTATTAATACTGGTTGAATACGTTTCGAAAAAAATCTTGGACATTTCTTCAGGTAAATCCAGGTACACTCGATTTACTCCAACGGTATTTATCAGCTGTACAAGATTTGGATAATTGATGATATCTTTAGGATCACTACACCAGACAGTTAGAGTTGAACCAACCGGCGATGTCTCCAATAAATATTGAAGTTCCGATATCGAATTGACTGCAAACGACGCTCGTACCGCGTAAGTCACAGGTTTCATGTATTTGTTTTTAAACAGTACGTCTACCATATCATTAATGTAATGCTCCGAATACTTGTCTGAAAAGTATATAATTTGGGTTTATCGTCATCGGCTATAGTAAACACGTTATCCATGCTGGTATGCTTATATTATCACAGATTAAATGAAACATTTACCTATTAAATATTAATTTAATCTATGCTTATTGGTATAATAAAAACGATTATATACCGTTATCATTGCGTTGAGTAGTCCAGCCTAACGATAAAATTGAATCTGGAAAACTTGTGGACGATACTTTAAGGAAAGTATCTGCGTCTACTCCAGGACTGTTTCCTGGACCGGGACCACGTAAGATATCTGCATTCAACCAAGGCAAACGATTTGGAGGCGAATCCTAGTTAAACCATAAATAGGTAATTAGTAATTATTAATTACCCACTATACATTACGTATTATGTATAGGTATACGATAAGGTCTTGAAATCTAAAACCGTGGTAATCCGATTGAACTTAATAATAACTATCATACCACTTTATTTAAACGCAAATTTTCCTGCTTTAAGTTTAATTTACATGAAAATTGATTAAAGTCATAGGTAATCATAACGAACCCTTTAACCAATCCCGTTCACACCAACGAGACCCTACTATAGTAATAATTGTATTATTGTTGTTGTTAATTTATTTATCATACTATCAAAGTATTTATAATATAGTATTATTATAATTATTGTATGAAAATGTAATAAAATAAGAACGCTTTTGTATTTGTACACCTAAACCGTGGCTAATACTTAAATATGTTAATTATGTTTGTGTACCACAAAGGCTCCTACGGGGATGGCGGTTGGCCTTAAATGATGATGATGAGAAAATATTATAAAAAAAAGAAAATAACACCCAGAGATTTATCTCGATAATAACTATAATAATAAGGTGACCCGTAAAAAGGACGGGTCACCAAAAATAAATATAATAAATATAAACAAAATCTGTTTTAGGCACCGTCGTGCTATAATATTATATACCTATATTAGAAATATTGATGTACTAAATTAATAGCAATAGTAAAAAATAGGGCGCCCAAACAATATGACAAGAATTAGTAATAATAATCGGTATACGAAACACAAATAATAATAATAACAATAATAATAAATCATGGATATCAGTGATATCACCTATAATTCAGGGGTCGGCAATTAAATTCTACGGAGGTCCAGAAAATCAAAAAAAAAAAATTTCGAGGGCCGGTAAAAACTAAATAGGTGTACTCAGATATTAGTTAATAATTATTGTGTTATCGCAACTGTTATTGTAAATAGCAATAAACGATATAAACACCATCGTGTAACCTCTAAATACATCATAAAATAGATAAAATATATTATATTATGTGTGGAAAAAAAATAAATATTTTTCGTGGTCCAATTATTTTTCCTTCGCGGGCCGTCTATCGCCGACCACTGAGTCCTATATCAACGACTTGGATCTCGAACAACGTGATCGCGTGAAAATCTCCGCTGGAACAACGGTATGGACTATTATACTGTTTGATGCCAATTCTCGATATTTACGCCCACGTGAAATATAATAGGTATATATATATATATGTCGTATCCACATAGTGAAACCACTCATTTCATAAACTGGATATCCAGATAGTGAAATTCGTCCAGATCGTGAATTTTGACGAAAATACATTTATATGGACATCCATTTCATGAAATGGACAATACCTATATCGTGTTCTTTGTGTACCTAATTATTATTTTATTATATTTATAATGGTTCATAAACTATCGTTGTACGTTTATACATAATATTATATTTTATTATATAAATAATTATATTTTAACAAAAATATTTTTATTTTATTTTTCACGATTGATTATGACATTGACTGTTACAAAGCATACTTTTCAATATCAATAAAGATAATAATGCTTTATCCGTGATCTATATTATATGAGGCTGTTAGAGAGATATCAAATTTAATTTCGGTAATCAAGCCCGGATCAAGAGCTTCAAAGGTCCAGGGGCCAATACATGGTTGTGGGCCCCCGTCAATAAAAACAATTCTTTAAAATTATAAAATTATACAATTATTAACAAATTTAAACATTTTTATTTAAATAAGATAACGATTGACGAGGATAAAAATATTAAAAAAATATTATATTTTTATTAAAATATATATTTACACATAAAATTAAGTTTTGTTTATGTAAACATGTTTAGTCGGTAGGTATCTGAATTATAAGTATCCGTGACCGAGACAGTCACATAACAAATTTTCCAAAATTTATTTTTAAATACAGTAATATCAAAATATATGCCTATTCCCAACAAACACAAATCTGGCTATGGCGCTATTTTTCCCCACTTACCATACTATTAGTGGTAAACACGGTCGACCGCGGGCCCCATCGACTGTTAGCTCAAACAAGAAAAAAATAAAAATATTTTTGTAGGTACTATAAAAAGTACAAATTATCACTTAATGTAATTTTAAACCGAGAAAACTACGGGCCCTTAACACGCGTGGGCCCCGGGGACTTGGCCCCTCCTGCCAACCCTTAATCCGGGCTTGTCGGTAATTCCACATCTGATATGAATGTTTCTTTATCAAATATTCGGATGACAATTAACGGATACCTATGTAACTCCTAAGTTGTTCAAAAAATAACATTTAGTGAGTGTTTGTGTATAACACAGTTACTATTGTGTTTGCAGTTTATACGTGTACCTATTTATTATTTCATACAGCAACTTTTAATAAAATTGGAAGAAAAGAACGTATTTTATGAAAAGCTAGATGAATATTATAAATTGAAATCTAAAAAAAAAAAAACCGTTCCCTAAATATGCTCAATTACAGATGATTGCTGAAATAGAAATGGCTAAAATGAAAACGTAAGTAATAAGTAATATTAAGTGTTATAAAATATTCATGAGATTAACTATAATTACAATATTTAACTAAGTGCCTATATTTCTCTATTGTTCTATTACCTAACAAAATAGTTAATTGATTAACTTAAAAATACCTTAAACGGCTTAAACTTTACGTACATTTTTTCCTTATTAAAATAAAATAAAATAAAAATATTTTTGTTAAAATATAATTATTTATACAATAAAATATAATATACGTATAAATGTATAATGATTGTGTTTATGAACCATTGTAAAATAAAATAATAATTACACAAAGGACACGATAAAGGTATGAAATTGATGTCCGTTTCATGAAACGGATGTCCATATAATGTATTTTCGTCAAAATTCACGATCTGGACGAATTTCACTATCTGGATATCCAGTTCATGAAATTAGTGGTTTCACTATGTGGATGCGACATATATATATATATATATTTTAATGTATGCGCGGCAAGAGCGACGTGCGCGACGGATACAACGACGGCACAAAAGTTATATAATATAAAATAATTGCGCAACGACTTGAAAGGTCAAAGCCCTTGTTAGATGCAAAAACACACGACGCAACCGGCGCAAGAGTTAACGGCACGCGCGGGCCAAAAGTTAACGGCAACGTCTCGACGATGTCGAACGAGACCAGCGAGTGAGTTCCCTTTGGACAGTGGTGGTCAAAGACGCCTATGCCATATATAGACAAGAGGGGAGGAGGGCGACGATAAAGTCGTCGAGCTTATCGCACGCAAACGATAATCATAGTATATCTTTCGAACAGTCTGTGTAATGTGTATTATAAGTATACCTATTGTATTTATATAAATACAATCATCGGTTATACAATAATTTATTCTATAATAATTAACAGTTCAATGAATTTTCACGAAACCAATTTTTATATATCGTGCCAAAATTATTATACACGCTAAGAACATCTCAATAATAATTTAGCGATAAAAATTTAAATTATGCATTTCAATTGACAATGTAGTAACAACTTTAATTTTTATAAAACATGTTTAATGATTAATTAAATTACTGTAAAATTAGTGTTTGACGTATCAGTCTTTATACGCTCATTTATCTTTGCTGTATCTTACCGGTTTTTTTTTTTTTTTTTTTAGTTATTAAACTAAACTATTGACAATAAAACATCGTTAACGTGTTTAAGCGTTGAACTATTCATCGATGATTTTTTTTTTATTTTTTTTTTTATATGTATATAAAGTTTTCCTGACACGGTCGTCTAAACTTAATAATATTAATTATTGTTGTTATTAATATGGTCAATACTAAAATAAAACAAGAATAAATAACTAATTACGCGATGCTACAATCCTATTAAAAAATACCTACTTTATAAGCGTTTTCAATGACTGGCAAGGCTAGTTTAAATGCTTCAGTTGATTTAAAATCAAGCTTTATAATTTTATTTGTATTGTTCCATGCATCTAAAAATTCTTTAAGACTCAAGTCTGATGTTATTGAAGGAGGATGACCCATTATTGGTATTCGGTCAGTTTTCTCCGCTTGTGTTTGAGGTTCATCAATCAAATGACCAGTAATAACATCAGCTTCTATCATTGTGAATTCACCTGTAGACAATATTTCAAGTTCATTTATTTATTTATTATTAGACAGTCATTTTTTTTTTTTGCATCTATCAAATATGAAAAAGTTAACTATGTTTGAGGTTTGTTTTATAAATTGACGATTTTTTTTTATACAAACAATTTTATTTTTATTCCTTCAGTTGTGAGTTGAATAATTTATGTAATTATGAAAAATATATGCTTCAAAATGTTATTTTTATTATGTTATAATTAATTATTTTAGTAAATTTCTTTAATATTAATAATTAAAAAATTATCCAACAATACTATTTTATTTAAATTAGTATTAAAATTAAATTAAATATTTATAAAAAACAAACTGTTAAGTATATATTATTATATATAATATCCACCAAATATTTAATTTAAGTTATAACTTATAACAATACAGTATTTATATTTTATACTTATATGTTTAAAAATCATAGTTATTTTTACAAAGAAAAAAAACGAAAACTAGGTACCATTTAGATGTGAAATTCAAAATACGTGTGTTACAATGTTATATTATTATGATATCATTACGTCATAACTCATAACATAATAAAATCATTATTACGTAATGTTGTATTGTAAAATAAATAATATATACAGGATAATTGATCAAGCGTACTCATTATTTTTTTCCAAATAATAAAAACATTTATTATTTTAAATGTGCTCAAATTTTAATTTTTTGGATTTCCAAATATATCAACTTAAAGTCTATGTATTCTTAAATACTTAAATTTTGAATACTTATTAAGAAAGGCATACTGTTTCAACAAACTGACTTTTTCTTAAAAATTAGAACCACCCGTTCTTACTATAAATAAATTGTTAAGCAAATTATATTTTTTATATAAATGTTAGTAAAAAAATGTATTTATAAATAAGTCAACTTTTTAAATTACCTATAATTATAATTTAAGATAGTTAACGAAAATACTCGTATTTCAATAATATTTTTTATTGTAATAATATAGATTTAATAATTAATCTAATAGTGACAAATTATTCGCTTTAAATGTAAATACAGTTATTTCATTTCAGAAGGGGGTTTTTTTAAAGCGAATTGAAATATTATCTAAAATTAATTATAATTAGTAATGGAAACATATTTTCTGATATGGGATGTCTTATATGGGCATGAAAAAATTATTTAAATATATCTCATAGCCTCGGGGAATTGACATATTATTATATTAAGTAATTCAACTAAATCTATACAAATTAAAGTTATCTTATTCTTATATTTATTGCCAATAAGAATTTAAAAACATTTTTCCAGTTTCTATGTATTATCACAGTTTTGGTAGCAGGTATCTAATAATATATTGTAAATTGTAATTATTGCATTCAAATAATATAATGTTCATATAAAATAAATATTCCTGATTAATAGAATTGTGTTATTAATAAACCACTTGTAATGTATTTTCTTAGAAATATTTTTCTGATTATTTTAAATAAAATTAAGGTAATTTCAAGGTATTGATTTAACTACACAAGTGGTAGTAATAATAATAAATACAATTGTTGGTATATATGGTTATCAGTTATCATTAGAGCTCGGATTTATATGTATTTATATAACCAAAATATGTGCATGCTAAAAAATTCAAAATATGTATTATCCTAATTAATTATTTAAAATTTAATCATGTCTTTTGGAATCTTAATGAAAAAATTATGCTAAAAAATTAATAAATATTAGTAGCTAAATAATAATTTAAAAAACAAAAAAATGATTATCTTGATTTCAATTTATAATAGTACAGGCACTTTTTAATTTTAAAATTTTAAAAATTGTCGATTTTGTTGTAAAAATACTGAATACTGACTTAAAGATCTTATTTTTTTTTAACTGATGATGTTATTGGACAATAATGCATGTTGACTACGTGTCATAAAAGTAGCATGGGCGCTATTCAATGTTATTCGACTTTGAGTACTAATTATATTAGACATTGGTTAGATTTGATAAAATTTATTTCGATTGGTAATTAACAAGACGAGTAATTATTTATGATTGTCGATCGTTGATTAGCGCAGAGCTTGTAAGTGACATCAAAAATATGACGTCCTGTCAACGGTGTCGATGCGATATTGTACTACCCTAATCGTAAATTATTGATTTACTTATGAGACGTTCTCAACAATTCTGTATTTTGCAGAAAACATGTTGAATACATCAGAAAGGTTAGGTTTTATTGACAAAATTATCTGAAAATGTGAGAGAAAAAATGAAAAACGTAAAAAAATGTATAAATGATAAATATGAAAAAATATGTAAAATTAAATATAACTATTTTATCAATAAAAATTGTGAAACAAATTAACTATATTTGTTAAAATCAATTTATCACGTCCCAGAAAAAATAAGTTGGCATTTACGTATAAATCCAAGCTTAACCCCAACCAGCTCATCAGGGACCTATTTCTACACCAGCACTACCTGGAAATCCAATTAGACGACTCAAGCAGAACTGGTGCCGTGACTTAAAAAATGTATAAATTGTTTAAATTGAATGTTATTTATAAACTGTAAGTAATAAATTGTAAATGTTATTGTAAAGCCACTAGGTGTCTCTAATGAGAGATTTCCTACCTGTTATCATTAGTTCATAGTTTTTCTTTCTTTTCACCATAATTATTACTTATTGTACACCTCTGTATTGATTGTAATATTTCAAAATAGAGTCATATTTAAAAAAAAAAAAATCCAAGCTTTAGTTATATCATTAATACATTCGATTTTTCAATAAACTCAATTTTTTTGTAATGACTACCACAGGTTAACGTGTTTTTATTTTACGATAATTTTTTAATTTGCTAGCCAACAAAATTTAAAATGGTCTGACCAAAAAAACGTAGGTACTTTGTAAAGTTTATAGGTTATTTATTTTTTACGTTACATAAAATTTTATATAATTATTTCCTAAGTATAATTTGGGTTTCACATATTTGCTCCTTTGCTAAATTGTCATAGTCAACACTCAGTGGAAAAGTCACGATAATTAAATTTTCATTTTATGATAAATCCGTTTTTCACACCTAAAATTTAAGTGGGAAAAATTCAAAATAATCGTGATTAAAGATAGGTTAGTATTACATTTTTAGATTTTCATTACTTAAGCGTAAAATATTTCTAGGGAATAAATCGCTCTGTACACCTACATTCGACTATTTGTGTTGTGTTATGTTGTAAATCACATATTATATTGGCATTGTAATCGATAGTACTTAGGTATGTTTTGTAGGTATATTCAAACAAGAAAACGCGCACGATAGAAAAATAAACAACGAGACGCGTTAGCTTCGCTGCTGTATCGTATATACAGAGCGTTTATTCGTCAGTGAATGTAATTAAAAACCATTTGGCGTTTTGGTTTTAATACGTTTTGAGTGTTTTTGTGATATTTTAATGTTTAGATTGTATAAACATATTACAGCAATAATTTTGTCATCTCTCAAAACCCCTCGATATAATATGTCAACGAGTTTAATTGTATAACTATCGTGACATTAATAACTTAAGAAGGTGTGGAGAGGCCAAAATCTTTCTACACAAAATTCAAACCAACCAATAACATACACAAAAAGCTATTAATATTTTACTATTGGAAGCCTATCCTCCAAATACTTCGTCGCACCAATAATCAACTACCTACCCGTAAGTATACTTATAGCTATATAGTATCAACCTCGGAAAAAACCACGAAATATCGGCTTTTGATTTCACTCAATGACTGATGACCTAGATCGTTCTCGAAGTTATAATAGTACGTGCGGAATATCCGGACACACTCTGTATATGTGTGTACACAATATTATATCATTATTTTTAAGCACGGGGCCCGGGCGGGTGTGTAAACAGTGTACGAACAAATCGTCACAAAACGTTTTACCGACGATCGATACGGAAACGACGATTACCTAAAATAGGAAAATTAGTGTAGCGATACCTGTAGCGCCGTCAACTGTGCAGTTTTCGTTTTAGCCCGCCAACTCGATTGCTCCGCGACACGATACGTATTGCACACCTTACCTCCCCCCCAAAGATATAATATAATATTATAATAATAATTATTATACGTAACAATAATATATTACAACACCAATAACCGAACGTAACACGTACAAGACTGCGGCGATGAAGCCTCCGGACCGGATGTGGTTGATATTGTTGGCGCTGCAGCAGTGCGTCGCGGCGTTTGCAGTGTCCGGCTCCGTGGACGAGTTCCAGTGCGCGTGCGGTCACAACGCGGCGAACCACGTGCGGGCGGCGCGCGACACGCTGGTCGGCCGCCGGGATGTGGCGGCGGCCGTGGAACTGGCGGCCGGTTACGGGCCGCTGGTACGCGCATGCTGCTCAGGCCAGCAGCCGCCGGAACCGACGGCCCGGTGGCTGTGGTGTTCGACCTGTACGCCAGCGGGCGCGCCGTCACGCGGCGACGGCCGCGCCCCTCGAAGCGCTCGTCCGGTGGGTCCGCGCCGACCACGTCGGCCGCGAGTTGAACCGGTACCTGGCCATCTGCAAGGCGCGAGGCGTGGGCGGCGAGTCGCCGCCGTGGAGCGATCAGCTGTCGTTCGAGAAGTACGTGCTGAACGTGACGGCCATCGCGGCAGCGGCCGGAACTGCTCAGGACGGCGGCGGCGTGCGCGAGAGGACCTTCGCGCCGCGCAGTCTGTACCTCACGACGTGGCCGCCGACGACGGCGCGCTGACCGCTAACGGCGTGGGATGCCCGGCGGGCGTCGACTGGCGGTCGGCCGCCGAACGGTTGTCGGCCGTGTACCGCGCGGCCGTCCGCAAATGGGTGCTCGGCACCCGAGAACTGGTCGTCTATCAGAAGAAGTTCGTGGCCGCCGTGCTGGTCACCCTGATGGGTCACTTGCTCGTGCACGTCGAACACTGTCGGGCCCATCGGCTGCTGGCCACGGTCCAACCGACCAGCGACGTCGCCGCGGCCCGTGCGAACACCAACGCCGTGGCCACAGTCGCCGCCGCCGCAGCCGCCGTCGTTTCCGGTTCCGCTTCCGCCGACGACGGCAACGTGCGTCTGAACGTCGACGACGCGGTACCGGTTGGCGAGTACGAACTGATGTGGATGTCGGTGAGCGCGCTACTGGACAAGTACAAGTCGTACTTGGCACTGCAGGCCCCGGAAAAGTCGTGTTACCGGACGCTGGCCGAGGTGGCCGCCAACCCGGCGCGCGACGACCGCGGGTTCCGGTCGGCGAGGCGCGCCATCGAGACGTGCATGGCCGAGTTGGGTGCCGGTCTGTTCGGCCCGGCGGCCACGAACTGGAAGGCTGAAGCAGAGCAGGCCGTCGCGGACGAGCCGCAGACGCTCATCGAGCTGATCGCTCTGGTCGACAACAATATTAGCGCCGCCGAAAAGTACCTGGAGAACGTTCGCCACCTGTTGTCTAACGTCGATTTTAACATAGTCAACAAATTTATGAGGAGCACGCACATCTGGCTGTCATGATTCGTGGCGGTTGCAATCGTCGTTATTTACCTAATGTTATATTATACGACACGTTGATACAATAATATTAGTAAAACCAATCACAGGGTAATACGATATTTTATTAAACGGTGGTTTTGTTGCACATTTACACACTGCTGCGGTGTGTCGATAAATTATACCGAAAACGAAATTACTTCGACTTGCACAGGACATTTGTATATTTCTTAATATTATCATTTATACATACAATAGCTATCGTTCGATAATGATTTGTATTATACCTAAACGTATTATACGTTGCTTGTTTATTTTTTCAAACTTTTTTTTTAATCGACAATTTGACGATACGTATACAAGTACCTATATATTATAAATATTTTGAATATTTTGTGGCAAGTGACGATAAGTTTCTAAGAAAAAGGAAACGATTTTTACCAGTCCATATCCAAATGATAAATCTTATTATATTTAATTTATAATTATATTTGTGTGAGGTTTTCACGAAAAAATGTTTAAAAATAAATGTGTAATTATCTGAAAATTTTATTTTGTTTTAACTTCATTAATTCTTAAACCCCGATTTTATCGTAAGTATTTATAAATATTCACGTTTACACTGTCATACTGGTAGATCCGCATGGATTATAATAATATATCGCGATGTATTTCGGAATGGTATCACTGAATACCAACTTAACCCACAAATCACAACTCATTGGTCACTACCAAGTACAGTAAAACCTTTCTATAACGGAATCGTTTAGGACCAATATTTTTTCCGTTATAAAGAGTTTTCCGTCATAGAGAGGTAGGAAATTATATATTATTTACACCGGGACTATTGACATTTTCCGTTATAAGGAGGATTCCGTTTAATAGAGGATCCGTTATAAAGAGGTTTTACTGTATACTCATCACTACTTCTTATTGTAAATCTTAGTATACCTAGCAGATTGTTGTTTATCGAAATAAAAATATTTATTTTTCCTTTATTTATTTTGAAGTATGCAAATTGTAGGTACCTATAATAATATTTTCATAATCAAAATATGGGACGAGAGAAGGATCAGACATGGTGTTGATAATGCGTGGATACAAAGCTACCTACACAAGACCTGTGATTCAAATCTGTTTTTTAGTATATGTTTAACTGTCTAAATAGGTATGTAAATAAATTATTTTAATTTAAATAACAAATAACGTCATAAAATTTAGGTACTTAATAATGTAGGCCGACAGATCATTTCCGCTCTGAATCGTTTTTCATATGCAATGATATATTATCATTGAATTCAAATTTAATACATCCAAAAATTTGACCGACTGGACGCTTAATTTACAGTAGAGCTGTATACCCACTTGTGCACCTTTTTATCTTTTAATCGATGTTTAATGTTAATTAAAATTATGTTATTAATACAGATAAGACTTAATACTATATTACTATACTATAATACAATTTATATTATGTATTTATTTATATTTATTATTATTATTTAGTAGTAATCATTACTCATTATTTGCAATACAAGCTGCATAATCTTGCAGGAGATAAGTTAATCAAAGCTATAATTAAGTATAATATCTAATCTGTAATATATTATTGTTTTATTTTTTTAATAAAAAAAAAAAATATTATAAATAATTTATAATACCTCATTACTGTTTTATATTTTTATTATACCTACTTATTTTTTTTTATTAGACTCAAAAAAAATCACCTTTTACTTTTATACAATTACTAGTTATATTTAGATACAAATTAAAATTTCAAAATTTATATTTTGTTTTAATCATTATTTAAATATCTAACTGATTAACAAATGATATGTATTATTTTTGATTATTCTAATAGATTTTAATACTCAAATTAGAATTAATGACATTTTTATAATATAAATAATCAAAATAAATATCGTCAATAAAAACAGAGTATTTAAAATAATAATGATAAATTTATTTAAGGTAGTTATTCTTTTTTTATGATTATATCTAATATAGTTTTATATGTTTTACACTATTACGATTATCTTATTTTGGGGTGAATAAAATTTAAAAATATTTTACATTTTCAAATGTCTAATAGCAAATTAAATAAATTATTGAAGAATACTAATGCGAAACACTTGAATAAATAGTTTCCACTTCCCACAACGATCATAGTTAATTTAAGTAGTAGTTCTTAAAATACAGGCTAAAATAGACTTACTTGTCAAGGCCCTCTGTAGCTTGGCCTTGGAATTAACTGCATGATCCCAGGTGGCCGTTATCAAACTCGTTTCTGCAAAAAAAAAAAAAAAACCACCGATCAAAACAATTGTATAAAACAGGATTTCCGAGGTCTTTGCCCATCTCTGCTTAGTACACAATAAATAGTATTTTTATGTTTTTTATATCTATTAAATACACATGTTCGTACGGTCAATGTACTTACGGCCTGTCTGCGTGTCGAACATCTGCATTACTACTCCCAAGATAAAATCGAATAGCGTCAAGTTCATCTGAAATTTCAAGAAGGTCTACGTGAAATACCGTTCGGTAGACTTGCCATTAGGACGTACACTGACGTTATTTTTATTTATCGTCTCGGTAACCAAGACAAATGTCTAGAACAGTGACGCCCACCCTTTTTCCTTTGGTTGGCCACATTAGTCAAATATTACATAATATGTTGGACACCAATAATACAAACAAAAATAAGAGAACACAAAAAAAGGAAATGAAATATCTTGGAAATAATAATTATTGTACTTTTATGAATCTTATTTTAATTTAAAAATGTATGGTAGATCGCGGATTAGGTATCACTGAAATAGTTCTATGTAGATATTGTAAAGGCGCGTGCGCATACGTTTTGTAGTAATGCGTTACGTGTAACTTCTAATCATTAATGGACTTAAATTGTTAAAGATAATCTAAGTTTTCCTTTTGTAAATTTACATTTTGATAAATAATTAAAATTTTTTTTTTATATAATTATTTATCCTTTTGTGACAATTTACATACTATAAAAACATCCAAATCATTGGTAAAATATTTTATTTGTAGGAGGAATTTGTTTTTTTTTTTTGTTAATAATAAACAATATAATTACATATGAGGAAAGGAAAAATAAACATACATTTATTTATAGTTAGTATTTTTAAACATTTTCATTTTTTATGCCACAAACTGAAAAGGTTATTTTCATGTAACACATTTTTCAGTAGATCATTTAAAAAAGAGGCTCAACTTTTAAAGTCTTATTCCTTTATTATATAATACAATATAATACGGTAAAGTCAATTTGACCTGTGGCTATAATGTAACCTTCAAAGGTATCCCGTGTCGATTGCAATAATATTATAATACTGACCACGTTGCACGCAGATTCGAGCGATACCCGTTTGCGTACATTAACCCCTTCTAGCAACTCGTTTGCGCACATGAATTTTTGATACCTACGTTTAAATAACCTAAACGTAGAACGGCATAACACATTTGTGTATATAAACTATGGAAAAAGTCTATTAAAACTAAAAAAAAAATTGACAACAAAATAGTCGTGTCTTGTAATTGTCATATATTCAATTAAAATAGGCATTATATAGAAATATATAATAACTCAACAAGTAGCCGAATTATCACTGAAAAAAATTATAGCTTATTAGCTTGATTATACTCTTTTCAATTAATATATGTATCTTAACAAAGTTTTTAAGATAAATGGTATCATTATATTGCATTAAATATAGTAAGTTACTGTTACAATATTAGTCT